TGTCAAAAAGCCTATTTAAATAGAAGCCAATGAAACCAAGGAGCTTTTAATTTTTTATGTCTGGCTCCCCTTGTAACTCACAAGTCACAAGTGATATAATTAGCCATGTAATATTATCAACATGTTAAAAAAATTAAATTTAATATCTTGTTATTTATCAATGTATTCGAGCTTTTTAATATTTGATAATTTATTAATTTATTTTAAATTTTTATAATTTACAAATAATAATAATTATATATAGACTCTCTTTTTAAATAGAAATTTAAACTTTGATATTTTTTCTTAAAAATACATTGAAAAAATATTTATTATAAAATTCATGTCATTTTTTTATTGCCATTCATTTAAACTTATTTTTGAGTTTTATAATTTAAACGTGTTTGTGTTTGTTAAGCAGACTTTCAAGAAGAAAATATCAATTTAAACTCATTGATTTTTACCTTAACTTCAATTTGCAAGCCTGAATTTATTCTAATTTCAGTTTTGTAATTTCTAAAGCAAACATGCCCTTAATAAACCTCTAGTAAATGAACGGGCTTGACTAGACGCCGGGGGGGGGGGGGGCATAAGAGTTAAGAAAAGTAAGCAGATGAAAGTTACTTCTGATTTCTTTCTCGGCTCAGCGACTATAGGATGGAATTGAGATCAAGAATGACGCTGTTACAGTCTAGAAGAAATTAGACGGAGAGAAACAATGAGACAATCAAATACTTCGCAGGAATTCAAGAGCGCGGGTGTTTTGCTGAATGCAACAGAAAATAGAAGAGTAATGTCCGAAATTCTCTAGTTCAGACATGGATGTCAAGTTTACTCGTTCATCCAAACCGCACATCGAAGACACTGTCCTTCAAGCAATAAATCAAATGCTCTGTTTATGTCCTTAAAGTCAATCTCGTGGGTGACAAAATCATCCAGCTGCAGTTCCTGTCAATTATTGAGGGCAGGCTTAATTAAAAGATCTGGCACTTTGACAGAATTATTGCTGTTTTTACAATATGCTGTACCTTTGCTCTGGGACTCTGTCAAAGTTCCTACCATACACACACGAAGAGAGGATGGAAATTAAGAGCAGATAAAAAGAAAAAGACGGAACACAATTACAGGGTCAGGTATAAGTGATCACCTTGTCAAGATAACGCTTGAGGAGAATGGGAATATGAGTCTTGGGCTCGAGTCCCCCAAACAAGGATCCCACAAAGACTTTTCCACTGTGAAGGACTTCAGAGGAACTGAGGGTTAACTTGGATCCCGGTTCGTCAACTCCCACCACTATTGTTTTCCCCCATCCCTGCACTCAACAAACATCACTTTTTTCAATTACCCTTCCATTACTTTATTCATTGAAAGCTCCACCTCCCACAAAACATCCAATCACTTCTCTCTTTCCTCTTTCCCACAACAGAAAGCAATCACTCCTATCTCTAATCCACAGTCATGGACTTTTTTTTCTCTTGGTTAATAATTACGACAATTAGCAGAAACGAAATTTCAACTACTTCAAGTAGATGAGCAAGCAGAGAGAGACCCTTCGACAAGAAGCATATGCATCATGCACCAACGACGCCATCCCCACGCACTCCAAGCAGCAATCAGCCCCTCCACCTGTCCTATCTCTAATACCTGTTTCACATTTATTTCACTCGCCATCTCATTTTCTGCATTTGAAAAACCAATTAGGTATTTATATTTTTTTCATCGTGTTAATTAAGACAAGTGAATTTTGAATTTTGAAAGACTTTAATGTACTAATAACAAAGACATTGCGTGCTTAACGGATAAGCGAGATGGACCTGGCTAACAGCTTTGTCCCCACATTCTCCGGAATTGACGAAGTCAGTGACTCCAAGCCTTTTGCCTGGGTGAAAAGTGAGGAGACAAATTGTGACAGGGAGACATATACAGACTGTCAATGGCATGAGATTAATCACAACAATATTAGCCATGAGGCGGTCGGTATTATCAAATCATATGACACAGGTGATTACCAATTTCAAATTTGTCTGGGTTCAAATCCACCCCTATAATCCGCGCAGCTCCACAAAGCCTAGCCCCCTCCGCAACCTTTAGGCAAGTGAAAAACAATCCATTTCACAAGCAGGAGAGGAACACAGGTAACATGGAAAAAAATAGTCCAGTGCTTTAAATTTTTGTTCCTCCCATGTACTACTCGATCCAACAACTCGAACAGTGAGATTTCAATTTCAAAATATGTTTCCTCTGCCCAGGAAAATACACAGTCGATGCTTTTAATCTTACGATGAAAGTCAATGAAAATAACATTATTAGAATACCACTACAACTATAAAAAAAATAAATTTAAATTATACACCAGTGCATACCTTGGACTGAAAAATATACTGCCCATCAAGTTAATAGTCACGAATGAGTGAGAGGGTCTTGTTTTTCTTTGAAAAATATCAGCAGGTGAAGCATACATGAACAAAGAATAACACCGCAAGGTCCAAGTATTTGGTGGAGAAAAATAAATGGCCCGGAAAAAGGAGCATATATAGTGAGGGGTATACGTACAGCTAATCCAATACAACCCAGCCTAAATATAGCGACCGTTGAGCCTGCCTCAATGGCAGCTGTGATCCAAGCAGCGCCCACTCCTGAAAATAGTCAATAATTCAACAGTAACGTGTGCCCGCACATCTAATCCAATTCTTTAACTCCGCATATTGCACGACGAATAGCTCGAGTCTACGCGTCACCAACAATATTTACTTTGTTCAGACAAGCATCGCTTTCGCATTGAGCTTCCGGCGTGCAGCCAAACATCAAGTTGGCCCAGCAATAAAGGTTCGGGGAGGTAATCCAAAAATAGGCGAACATCAAATCAAGTTAATTATAGATATAGATATGAAGATTACTACTAAATTAAACTCTGAGACTGATCCAAAGAGAATCTTAACACTGTATGGTCAAGACTTGTAATCCCACGCTTAAAAAAAGGAACCCTAGTTCACGGTTATTTTAAAACAAAGGAATGGAAATTACCAGTAGAAACACCGCAACTGAGGAGGCAAGCCCTGTTGGGGGGGAGGGAGGGAGGGATCCTGGTCAAATTGGCGACGTTGACGATAGTGTACTGGGTGAAGCTGAAAACGAAGAGGAAGTGATAAATGGGCTGGCTTCTCATGTCAGTGAATCTGCTGCTCTCCTGCCTGGGCATCCACGGCGACACCCTGAACCCCACCTCCGATCACAGGTTGCTCTTCTCCGACCTGCAGTCCTCGCACTCCCCGCATTCCGACAGGAACATCGGCCCTCTCCCACGCTCTCCACCACCCTGTCCATTCCAATCTCAGGCTAGTTTTTCACCGGACATCAAGTCAACTACCAGAATCCCAAAGCTTACCCGACAGCCTCGTGGCCCAGAATTCTCAGGCGAACTCCGGGAGGATCCTTCGCCACACGGAAACATAACCAAGAAATAAAATACATAAACAAGGGTCTCGCTTAGTTCACATAGCAGGGTGTTCATTAATTTAACAGGGGGAAACCTCCATCCTCCAGAATGTGACGTCGCTGTGACAGAGAAAGGTGCATACGATGCGAATCCGAGCTTCCCGGGCCATGGGCGGTGCTACAATGATATCCTCGATCACCAGTGGCTCGCCGGCTTTCTGACATAGGCGGCTGCAGTTTCATGGGTTAGAAGCTGGGAAATCAACATTTCAACGTGTTATCGAGAAATCCCAAATTGTCGTACCTTTGCACTGGATTGGCTGCCCTTCCCTGCCGATACATGGCGTCGCTTCCATGGCGATTCAACACAGTCAAGAACCTTGGCAGTTGACCATCCGAAGGCGTTGGTTGGCTCCGCGATGTGGGTGGGAATCGCGGCTTTTTATTTGTCGTCTCCGTCTCCTGCCGCGTGTGACTTGACGTCAGGGGGCCCCATCAACTTATATTAGCTTAAGACGAGATTGGCTAATTATTTATTCCTGCGAAACGTGGAGCAGATGACATCTCCAGGGTCCATCCTGCACAAGCCAGCTCATTGGCGTGAGGCTTTTACGTTGAATCACCTCTCGGATGTTAAGCAGCATGGTTAATTTAGTAAATGGTATTGAATTTGTCGGCAATTTATATGATTTTTAGAACTAGCCTTCAAGTTTATTGCGAATTCACCTAGTTGTCAGTTTATTTTTACCTCAATAATGACTCTGTGAAAACAATATAAAGTAGTTTAGGGTATTTTTATGGGAAAAAAAATAGTTACTGCAGTATACAATTTGTATGTGGCGTGAGAGACTACAAAAAACTTTCCGACAACGTTTTACGAAAAAGGAGAGATAGTAAATTACACTCGTCATCGGATCACCTTTTCGATGATTAATGATTAGTTGAGTTCGGGATGGATTCGAGGTGAGGGAGGGTGGCCTCCACAGTTCAATGAGACAATGACCATTTGAAAAAAAAAAAAGGGAATGTTTCACTCTTAAAAAAAATATATATATAAAATAGGTTTTGACCCTCAATTCGTTTCTTATGGCACCCCATTCACACTCTCCTATCTCTCCATGATTTGATTAAAATTTTATATTAGTTAATTAGTTTACTCTTGCGTGTTTTATCTATTTCTTTTAATTTAGGGAGTATATTAATAAAGGACGCTCCAATCAATTAAATTCTTTCAGAGATCATTAGTTGACATTCTCACTTCAAACTATTCTACTTATGTCTTGTAACTGAACCGACCAGATTAACTAATTTCTCACCCTTCCCGCACACTGTTAAATCCCAAATTTAGCCCAAATCAATCTCATCCTGGATTTCATGAGACCCGAGCCAACTGGGCCTTGGCGATTGGGCCGTAGTGGGGTCCAGTGTACGAAAACTCGTAGACGGCGCAAATTGATGCACAAGGTGGAGACGGCTCGTAAATGTTTTGCCCCAACGTCACGCATTCTTTCCTCTCTTCGCTTTGCGACTTGGTGTCTTCAAAGATTGTCGCCTGCATCTCCGGTGAGCGCTATTTTTTCAATTACCTAACCTGTTATATTTTACCGAAAGCTCTAGAAGCTTCGAAACGTTGCGATACTTAGATCTCAGCTGCTTAACCCGTTCTTGTTATTCCGCATCCTTTCTTTCTATTGCCCCATCCAATCCCCCTCCCTGCTCCTTCTCAGGTAGTTCTTCATGGCAATATGACTGCCTTCTCCGATCCTATTTGTATGAGGATTTTTTCCCCCTATCTTCCCTTAATTCATGACGCTGTAGCATATATCAATTTTGTTTTGATATTGGATTTTTTTTTGGGTGGTTTTATTAACTAGGCTGTCGAAATCTCACCAGTTCCGAAGCATTCATGCATTTTTAAGGGTTTAACAAATCTCATCTTCCACGCTTTCGCGTATATTGATAGAAACTAGCATATTTCTTCCATGATTTCGCGTGTATTGAGGGCCTTTGCTGATTGTGATTGATGTTTCGAATAAACCTCAATGACACTATCCATTTAATGACTTTGTTATTAAGGTTTCTGTTTAACTTCATGATAGCTCCTTGTGCTTATGGTGGGGAAATGGCATCAAAACCTCTTTTAATCCCAAGTAATAATGACGTTCGGTTCTCTATGGGTTGACTAGGCAACTAAAGTGATGCAAATGACTACATTTTACTGTTGCCTTGAAAAGAATTAGCTGTTATTTACATAATTTTACTTTTCATGGTGTGATGAAGATTTAGGGGACTAAATGGGAAAGCTGGAGGTCCTCATTAGGCGGAAAACTAGCTTTGCAATTTTATATCATTGTTAGGGATGATATAATGTAACTTTCTTTGATGCTATATGTGCATCCATTCTTTGCACAAATGAATTTATGTTTTACAATGTAGAGTAGAAAGGGCATACATATTTCTGACTGGCAGTTAAGCACTTTGTTTTCTATTTCAGCTGATAATTTGAGGTTAAGTTGGGGGAAAGGAATTTTACAGTCGTAGTATCACTGCTCATACAAGTATGGCGTTTTTTGCATGGACACTGTTTATATTTACGGTTGAACATGATATATTATATTGCTTCATCTGCGTGGTTAGGAGGGCTTGCCTTGGGATATCTATTAGAAGCATCTTTTAATTAATATGTTTTTGCATCTGGATTGTGCTGCAGCTACTTGCAATTGTTTTGGCAGCACTTGTTCTTTGGAAATCCTTGGTTCAAGAGTCTGTATCTGACCTTATAGAATGGCAGGCCAGAGCTCTAACGATGGTCCTGGTGCTAGCAATGTTTCAGCAGAATTGTCTGATTCAACCGTTCAGCTCAATATCAAGACTTTAGATTCCCACATTTACAGTTTTCAAGTGGATAAGAACGTTAGTAATGGCTATTAATAATCTTCTCAATTTCTGTCATTTTACTTTTTTCAAGGCATATTATACTACAGTAATATCTATAGCCCATGGGTTAGAGTTTAGCGATATAACCCCTGTTTTTTTTAATATGTAATCTTTCTTGAAAAATCATTTCAGATGCTGGTTTCATTGTTGAAGGAGAAAATAGCCGATGAAATTGGTGTTCCAGTAGGTCAGCAGCGGTTAATATTCAGGGGGAAAGTCTTGAAGGATAATCATATTCTTTCTGAGTATCGTATCCTTCAGTTCAATTATTATTCTTCCTCTCAGATTCAGGTTTAGTGGATATTACTTGTTATTGCATGACAGTGTATTCTTGAATGACATATGGAACAGAATAGTTGGATAAAGAATGATTTAATACTTATAAATTGTAATTATGGTTGCATTGTTTTTGCGGAGCAATTTAGCTAATTGTTGGTGTGAATGGTACCTTATGTACATTTCAGTGTATGGTTTATGTATATTGAATGAAGCAATCTGATATAAACATTTGCTACAGCACTTTATTTCTATCATTTATGCCCCTTTTTTGAACTATTCTACCTTCAGGAATCTGGAAATTGTGATACTTGTTCTTTGTTGGTTTAACTCTATGAATGGATGATTTATACCAAAGCATGTTTTATATTGTTTGTCTGTTTTATAACATGATCCTTAGCCAATTTTACTCAGACATTGAGCATGGGGATACATTGCATTTGGTTCAAAGGCAGCTGAACCAGTCACAGACTCCTGGTACCAGTTCTGGTGAGACAACTGGTACAAATGGAAACCGAGGTAAAGGTTAAGACTGCCTTCCCTTTGTTCTTTTACAGTTCTTGAGAATTTCTGCAGATCATCTTTCTATTGTACTAACCAATTATTAATTTTATATGTATGGAAGGAAATGATGCAAGCTCTGGGGCGCATCGTAACCGTGCTGGGCAAATTTCACACAGTGTTGTTCTAGGGACCTTTAATGTGGGGGACCAAGGTGAAGGAATTGTTCCTGACCTTAGTCGGGTGCGTTCTTCAACACTACATTCGAGTAGTTAGCGTGTATATGCTTTTTTGCATCAAGTTTTCAGATATCTTAAAATATGCTTCCAGGTCATTGGGGCAGTTTTGAACTCTATTGGAATTGGTGGGCAGAGCACTGGTGGTGTTACAAATGGTACACAGTCTTCTCCAGTAAGTATCACTTGTTGTCTGGAAAAATAACCGTGCATAGCTATAATCTTCCTCTCAATCCGTTAATTTTCTTTCAAAAAACTAAAAAGTTAGCGAATAATCATTTGAGTGGTAAATGCCACTTGGTCATGGAATGTAAATTGTTAATCATCTAAGCCATGAATTATTCTGAAGTAAGCTCTATTGATCTTTGCTTGATGTTTTTTATTTTAGTTTATTTCTTTTAGAAAATTGCTGCGTATTTCTGTCTTTCTTTCTTTCTAGACTTCCATTTACCTTGTTCATTGACTGATCAAGGTGTTGTAGCATCTACTTTATTTAGCTGGCTTTTCTTCGTGAACATTTTGTCATCCACTTAATGTTAAGCATCTTAAGAGTTGTTCTTATGTTACTACCTTTGGATTCACATTTTTATGCTATTGTATTAGCATCTTTAGTTTATTTAGTTCCTCTGATTTGCTAACATTTGTTAAGTAGAACTGTTTTAGATCATAGAATTATCTTTTCTGTCATCATTTGCTAGCATGCCACATGCCCTCCTTCATTGTTATTCTTTTAAACTCACTGGGTGTATTTCTTATCTGGAGCCAAATCCATCTACTCAGGGTCCTTCTGGGAATGAAGCTGGCGGAATGCATCCTCAAAATCAGAACCCATTAGGAAATCAAGCTCAGACTGGACAGACATTTCCTAACCAACCATTCCAATCTTTACCTCATGTAGTTCAGATTCCTCTGGCTGCAGGATCCGTAACTGTGCCATCACTTAGTGCAGTAAGAACATAAGCTTCTTTTATTTACAGCCGGCCTTCTTAATTGTCTTCACATTTATTAACATTATGTTTTAATTGTTCCCTTAATACCAGCCAATTCCTCATTCACTGGATACTCTTTCTGAGTTTATAAATCGCATGGAGCAGACACTATCACAAAATGGTGATGATACAGAGCTCATTGCAGTGACATTCCAGATTGGAAAAGACCATATTTTAATTAGTTCGATTTTCTCAAGCAGGTTATCAGACAAATTCATCTTCAACGAGTGGAGGAGAGCAAACACAGGTGGAATTACCCTCCAACCCACAAGGGTTGCCAACAGTTGAAGCATTGACTGCTGTCTTGCATCGTGCTGAAAGGCTGCTCAGTGGCCATGCTATTGCTGCACTATCTGTAATCAACTCATCTCTCTTTCAGAAATATAGAAACCTTTCCCTCCCAATGAAATAAGCATGTTTTTGCTGTATGCAATTTGTGGGGATTTGTTGTGAGTGGTAGCATAAATTTTACTGGGAGGAAGGGATATATGCTGGAGTTTATAAGAACGCAAATATGAAATTGAAAAGGATTTTGCTAGAAAATTCCTGGTCATGGATTAAATGGTCTAGTTTTATTTTCTTAGTCACTTTTACCTTTGGAGAATACATGTGCTTTGGTGCTAAAAGATGCCAAAATGGATTATATGTTGAGCCTACTTTAAGAGGTACTTCTTCTGGTCTTATATATAAGACACCTTTTAGAAGTAATTTTTGGTCCAAAATATAGGACACCTTGTAATAATTAAACCACTTTTTTCAATTTTACCCATTCTTGATTAGCATAAAGGTATTTAATATAGTTGTATTATTATTTAAAGTCAAGGGTAAAAATAAGAGTATATCTTACTTTTTAATGATATGAAGAAAAAAAAAACTAACTTTTTTTAAAATGCGTGAAATGGTTGAAAGTGTCTTATTAGGACCGGGGGGAGTAAGCGGTAAAATATTGATTGATGTGAGGCTGAAAAGAAAAGAATCGTTTCTGTATAAGGTTTTTCTTCTATCAGTTGATGTACTTGATGCTTGAAAACATCATGGACCTACTAAAAATCATGTTTTTATTGATCCTAATCCTTACATCCTTGTCTGCAATTACGGGAATATGCTAATTCTAGCAGATGCTGGTTTTCTATTGACTTTTTTTTTTTTTTACCAACTATTGATGTTGAAGAGACCAATGATGTTACAACGCCTTAATTGCAAAACTCTGGGACGCATTTTATTCCATTGTGCCATTTATGCATTGATATCATCTTTTAGATGCCATGTCTTATCAATTCTAATTGGATTGGTAAACAATCTGATATTTGAGAGATGAATCTAGTGCACGCTCAATAAACAAAATTTTCTCATGTTGTTCCTTACATACGATTTATTTATGTATGATTATACAATCCCGCAGTTCTGTCTCTGGCCTGTATTTACCTAGGTGATTTGCCCTTTTGAGTTCATCCTTTAGAAGTTGTTTCTATCCTGCATGTGTTGATTAATAAAGAGATATTCTGTCTTTAAAGTTAGACGTCACTTCTGAATACAAAAAATTATTATTGTTGCAAGTTACATTATTAATATTGCTATATTTAACTTATATCTTATCATCTGATTGTTGTTAATTTGTAATTTGTAAATCTAGCATATTGCAGGACGCTTGGAACGCGAGGGAACTACTTCTGATCCAAATATAAGGGGTCAAATACAGTCTGAGGCAATGCAAATAGGACTTGCCTTGCAGCACTTGGGTGCATTTCTACTTGAGCTTGGCCGTACAATCTTGACACTGCGTATGGGACAGTCTTCTGTATGTTGTCTTCCTATTCTATATGGGGTTGCTTTAGGTTAAGCTGTGAGGCATATTATTCATTAAGATCATCTTAATTTTTCAGGCAGAGTCTGCTGTCAATGCTGGGCCTGCTGTTTATATTTCGCCATCAGGACCTAATCCTATAATGGTGCAGGTTTGCCATTCTCTTTTGTTTATGTTCTGGTTGTATCGATCTATTCTCATTAATGCTGATGCGGGAACATTTTTACATGCATACTTGATTGTGGAACCTGAGGATGGTTAACATGCAATGAATACTTTGAACATAGCACTCTTTCTAAATCAAATGGATTGTTTAAAGTTGAAAGGAGGATAGTTATTTGTTTGTGTAGAATCAATTTTCAAATTTTAAAACTGTCACAGTTATGTGGTTATAAGGCAATATTTATTGCACATGAAACTTGATAACTGTTTCTGGTTTCAAATCTTCCTGTCCTGAGTACTTATTGGGAAAAGTATTTTATATTGGACTTTGTTAATGGCATACAGTGATCATTGCTAGAGAGTGTAGAGGAAGTAGTTTATATAAAATTTCGATAAATATTGTTAATCATGTAAGCTGTCAATGAAGAGTTTATACGAGTGTGGAATTGATGTTAAATTATTGTGAAGCTGAATATGTTTGCATGCTGTTGGAACCCTCTAGTCTATTAAGCTTAAAAATAAGCAAAACCAGAAAATACACTGTAAATGTAACTAACAATTACTATTGCTGAACAATAGAGTGGGATTACAATCAAAATAAAGACTCAAACTACACACAGATGGCAATTACAGAGCGTGAAACAACATAATCTACACCGTCTGAGCAGCAAAAGGAACATTGGTCTCTCACAAATACAAACTGAAGTAGAAAGATAAAATGATCAAGAAAAGATGATCTTCTCCACCCCTAATCTGGCATTCGAGAGGCCAGAACTCTCCTCACTTGACCACAATTCTCCAAACAGTCCTCTCCATCCGTCATCACAGAAGTACATATTTAAAGAGTCAAAAGTAGTCATTACCCCTATTGACACTACCCATATCCTAGGCTACACCTAACCTGACTTTTCTTTTTGAATCTTATAGTTATAAACCTTCAAATAAACCTCTTGACCACTGGCCTTAGTCTTCTCTGAATCACCTCCCTGCCTAGATTGTCTACTGTAAGCCTTAGGAAACAACAACAACAACAACAAGCCTTTATCCCACTAGGTGGGGTCGGCTACATGGATTGCAAGACGCCATTGTGCTCTATCATTTATTAAGCTTTTAGAAATATTATTAATTAAGAGATCACGTTCAACAACTTCCAAGAGTGTTCTCTTAGGCCTTCCTCTACCTCTCTTAATCGGACTCAAAGTTATATGTTCCACTCTTCTCACTGGTGCCTCCCTTGGTCTTCTTTGTACATGCCCAAACCATCTCAACCGATTTTCTACCATTTTTTCCTCAATAGGTGCCACCCTCACTTTTTCACGTATGTGCTCATTTTGAATTTTATCTTTACGTGTATGTCCGCACATCCATCGTAACATTCTCATCTCTGTTACTCCAACTTTATGCTCTTGCTGTCCCGTTAGAGCCCAGCATTCACTACTATATAACATTGCCGGTCTGATAGCAGTACGATAAAACTTTCCTTTAAGTTTATTAGGCACCTTACGGTCACAAATAACTCCTTTAGCTTTTCTCCAATTAAACCACCCAGCTTGAATTCTATGTGAAATATCTCCACTGATTTCGCCATCATTTTGAATAATGGCTCCCAAATATCTAAACTTTTCCACTTGAGGTATGATTTGATCTCCCAATTTCACTTCCAAATTATTTTCGAATAGTCCTTTACCAAATTTACAATATAAATATTCCGTCTTACTTCTACTCAGACGAAAACCTTTCGACTCCAATGTCCTCCTCCATAACTCGAGTTTGCAATTAACCTCTTCTCTTGTCTCTGCTATAAGAACTATATCATCCGCGAAGAGCATACATTTCGGGATTTCCTCTTGAATATGTTCCGTCAAAACATTTAAAATCAAGTTGAACAAATAAGGACTCAGAGATGATCCCTGATGTAGTCCAATCTTTATAGGAAAATCCTTTGTTTGACCACTAGGCGTTCTTATACTAGTTTTTACCCCCTCATACATATCTTGTATGGCTTTAATATAAGCAATCCGTACTCCTTTTTTTTCCAACGCTTTCCAAAGCACTTCTCTTGGTATACGGTCATAAGCTTTTTCCAAATCAATAAAAACCATGTGTAGATCTTTATCTTTACAACGATACTTTTCCATTAATCCCCTTAGTAGATAAATTGCCTCTGTAGTTGATCTACCTGGCATAAAACCAAATTGATTCTCAGAAATACTTGTCTCCAATCTCAACCTGTGCTCAATTACTTTCTCCCACAATTTCATTGTGTGGCTCATGAGTTTAATCCCTCTATAGTTAGTACAATTCTGAATATCTCCTTTATTTTTATAAATAGGAATTAATGTACTTCTCCTCCACTCATCAGGCATTTTCTTGGACCGTAAAATCACATTAAATAACTTAGTTAACCATCTCACCCCTTCTTCACCTAAACATTTCCACGCTTCGATAGATATACAATCAGGTCCGTTAGCTCTACCATTTGCCATTTTCTTAAGAGCTTCCTTTACCTCCTTATCACGTATTTTTCGATAGAATGACAAATTTTGTTCTCCTTCACCAGTTACTAAATCCTCCAAGTTACTAGATGAATCCTCTCCATCATTGAAAAGTTTAGAAAAATAAGTCTCCCATCTATTTTTAATTTCATCATCTGTAACTAAAATTCTTCCCTCTTCATCCTTAATACACCTTACCTGTTCTAGATCTCTTGATTTTCTTTCCCTACTCTTGGCAATCTTATAAATATTTTGCTCTCCTTCCTTCGTCTCAAGGTTCTTATAAAATTCTTCAAAAGCTTTGGAACGAGCTTCACCCACAGCTCTCTTAGTTTCCTTCTTAGCCATACGGTACCTCTCCCAATTTTCCTCATTGTTACACAAATGTATGGCTTTAAAACAGTTCTTCTTATACTTGATTTTGTCCTGTACACTATTATTCCACCACCAAGACTCCTTATCTCTCGGACCAGAACCTTTCGATTCTCCCAAAACTACTTTTGCAACCTCCCGTATCTTTTTAGCCATATCCTCCCATATGATGTTAGCACTTCCCTGAGAATCCCAAATTCCTTTATCCAAAAGATTTCGCTTGAAAATATCTTGCTTCTCACCTTTTAATTGCCACCACCTAATCTTTGGTGTTACTACTTGTCGACGTTTTTGGATTTTACTCATAATACACACATCAAGGACTAGGACCCTATGTTGTGTCGTTACAGCATCTCCAGGGATCACCTTACAATTTTTACAAAGTTTTCTATCTGTGTTCCTAACCAAAAGAAAATCAATCTGCGACCTTGAGGCTCCACTTTTGTAAGTGATGAGATGCTCATCTCTCTTCTTGAAACAAGTGTTGGCAATCTTAAAATCATACGCCAATGAGAAATCAAGAAGAGTTTGCCCTTCATTGTTTAGCTCTCCAAAACCAAAACCACCATGCACCCTCGCATACTGACCAGCTTCCCTCCCGACATGCCCATTAAAGTCTCCTCCAATAAAAATCTTTTCACTCTGTGGTATGTGTCGAATCAACCCCTCCAGATCCTCCCAAAATAATTCCTTAAGACTGGCTTCTGTCCCGACTTGCGGCGCATAAGCGCTAACAATATTAACAGTCTCACGTCCAATTATCATTTTTAAAGAAATAATTCTGTCTCCAATTCTGCTAACTTCTACAACGTTCTTCTTCCACTCCTTATCTATAATGATGCCTACTCCATTGCGTGCACTTACTTTTCCTGTATACCAAAGTTTGAAACCTTGAATATCCTTAGCTCCTTCTCCACGCCATTTTGTTTCTTGCAAGCAAAGGATATTGATTTTCCTTTGAATCATAACCCCTACAACCTCTACAGATTTACAATTTAATGTCCCAACATTCCAAGTACCAAATCTAATTTTGCTCTATGGACTAACTTCTTTAGCCGCGTGCGTCCAGAATGACGCGGTAGCCCTTGCTCATTTAACACTACATCCGGGCGCCGATGCAGCGGCTCTAACTCACTTATCACTGTACTCGAGCCATGCAGCGCGTTACTTACGGGCAACGACCTAGCATTAACATTATAACGTCTATTGTCCATGTTCATGATAGATTCAACAAATTTTTACATTGGCTGTTGATGGCCTAACACAACCCTCCTCCTTTACCCGGGCTTGGGACCGGCTATAAACATAGGCGGAGTTACTGTAAGCCTTAGGAAATGACAGGAAAATCTTTTGGGAATCACCAGCTCTATCAGTACCCTCCCCTTGAAACTTCACCTTGTCCTCAAGGTGAGAATTAGAAAGTATTGGCAATTTCCTCCCCAAACAGCTCAGCTTCTCTTGTGTTCTTGAAGAATCTCTAGCCAATGATATATCTGGTTGCCACTGTTGTGAAACCACTCTTGCTGAGATCTCTCCATTTTAAGGTTTCTCGATACAACTATATTTGTATGGACTTTGAATCCTTTGGGAACCTAGAACACAAAAAACCATGCTAGAATTTGGACTGCCAAGAACTGTGATATTATTAATATCGCAGCACTTCATCCCCTTTTCTGCACTAGTTGCCCTCTTTGTTGTAGCAAAATGCAGATTGTCTGAAGATGGTGTTATATGACCCAAGTATATTCTTTTATAGCTCCTCCACTTCCTTTTTGTTCAACAAGAGAACAATCTTCAGCCTCATGCTTAAACACTATAGCTGAAATGTAACTTTTGCCTCGGTAATTTTCGCCTCTGTTACCTTCATCCCAAATGAAAAGAATCACAAGCTGCCAAACAAAAGTTTGCTGCAGATCTGGAAAATTTTCAGACTCATAAGCAGGGGGCCAAGTCTTCAATATCGAGATCAAGGATTCTGAGCCTAGAAAATTTTCTCGTCCCTGAAATTCCCTTGTTGCTGCCATTCTTGCTTTTGCATGAGTGGTGACAGCATCTAAAGTGAAGCAATATAGAAATAGCACCTAGAAGCGAGGCCACCCTCTCTTTCTCTAATATTCTTCCCTTGTTATCTTCAGTTTCAGCCATTAACCGCAATTCTAGAGGCCTGATTTGCCTGTTCTGCTGGTCTCTACTGCTCAGCCAAAACAGTCTTCTAGTGCCAATAGTTGCCTCCATCTTGCCCCTTGTTGCTGAACTGGTGCTACTTATGAGAGAAAATTTAGCCCCCTTGCCCCTCACTTCCAACAAGTGGGTAATTTCAACCATAAAAAAGAACACAAATAGAATATAGGTGTACATGTTCACCTGGAGCCTCTTTAGTGCTTCAATGTGCTCAAATGAAAAAGCCCAGTAATTAGTCCCGAGCATCTTTTTGCACTTGGACAGAATGGAAGACGCTCTTGGCTTGCTCACTGTTGCTTTTCCTCTACGAGAAAAATTGCAGAGGTATATGCTTTCTCCAACATGTGTCTTCAAAAATCTCAATAACCCAGAAATTTTCTCTAAACAAACCCAAACCCTTGAGAAGATAAGTGGGACGTGCAGAAACTGCGGCGCTTGGCACCCAATCATGATAAAGAACAACCTTATACCCACCGTTTCATGCCATGTCGACATTGAAGAGGTAAGAAAATTTCTCTAGATGGGTCGATGCTGTATTGAATGAAGACTCTCTCCCTATCCTTTGATGGTGCGTTTTGGCAAGCAGTTTAGTGTACGTATCTCTAGGGTTAAAAAATTGAATGGGCATTTGGGCCTTACTTATGTTAACTGGCCCATCAATATTTATTTTCTCATCAAATTGAGGGTGTCTTCCCCAACTGATGTGCATTTGGGCCTCACGTATGTTGCAAACAGGTCCTTCAATTTTTATCCTCTTGTCAAATTTAGGGCTTCTACCCCAACTAATTTGACCTACCTGATCCAAGACTCATTTATTTTTTCCCTACCTTGCTCGTTTTCTTCCTCAACTGATTGCAATGACTGGCCTAGCAGTCGCTGGCTTCTCTTGTCTGCACCATATGTCTCTTCTTGAGCCTCCTTGCCATCATCATCTTCGGCCTTTACCCAGATGCTTCCGTGCCCATAATTTTTCCAGTGCTGTGCTGGAGCCTTCTCAACATCCCATGCTCTCTTCATTTCCTTCTTTGTTTCTTCTGCTGTGACATATGCTTGCTGGACATCTATGGGAATTTTTAGCATAGTTTTGACAGCATCCCAGACTTGAGATTCTACATGTTTCAAGACTTTCATATCTTCTTTTGGGTTGTCAACAAAAGCACCTTCAAGCTTCTCTTTTTGTGAAAAAGGTGATGAATTTAACTGTTGTTCTGCACTAGACTCTTTCGCTCCTCCTCCTTCTTCAACCTCCATAACTCCCTCTGTTTCTTGCTCGGCTGGTTTCTTCTCATCTTTTTTCTCACTTACAGCATCTTCCTCTGATTTCTTCTCTTCAACATGCATCTCCTTGTCTTAAATCTTTGTGCACTTCTCTAATTTCTTCTGCATTTCCTCTATTCTTTCCCCTATATTTTTCAACAATTTTGACATCTCAGCTGCTGTAACTACAAGTTCTTTTCGCAAGTTTGCCATACTTTTTTTTTTTCCTTCTCTCCCTCAGATCAACTGCTCTGATACCAAATGATGGAACCCTCTAGTCTATTAAGCTTAAAAATAAGCAAAACCAGAAAATACACTGTAAATGTAACTAACAATTACTATTGCTGAACAATAGAGTGGGATTACAATCAAAATAAAGACTCAAACTACACACAGATGGCAAGTACAGAGCGTGAAACAACATAATCTACACCGTCTGAGCAGCAAAAGGAACATTGGTCTCTCACAAATACAAACTGAAGTAGAAAGATAAAATGATCAAGAAAAGATGATCTTCTCCACCCCTAATCTGGCATTCGAGAGGCCAGAACTCTCCTCACTTGACCACAATTCTCCAAACAGTCCTCTCCATCCCTCATCACAGAAGTACACATTTAAAGAGTCAAAAATTAGTCATTACCCCTACTGACACTACTGACACTACCCATATCCTAGGCTACACCTAACCTGACTTCTCTTTTATCATTTGAATCTTTTAGTTATAAACCTTCAAATAAACCTTTTGACCACTGGTCTTAGTCTTCTCTAAATCACCTCCCTGCCTAGATTGTCTACTGTAAGCCTTAGGAAATGACAGGAAAATCTTTTGGGAATCACCAGCTCTATCACATACAAATAAATAAATAGCAGTCATGGCATCAAAGTGATTTCTCCCTAGTGAACCAAAAAAATGGCTGCATCATGGGGTATAGAATTAGTTAGATTTAGGATTTCTGTTTTAATTGGACTTACCTTTTAGATTTGATTTGGATTGAAATTTCATCTTGCTGTTCTCCATCCTCTATTCCCTCTCTCCCCCTTCCTTCCCATTCTACATCACTGCATGCGGCAAAATTTCTACAGTATGCTGCTTTTGCAGGGCATAGAAATCAAAGTGCTATTTAAAGCTTCAAATATGGTGTAATTTGATTTCAATAAGCAACTTTTTTGTGGGTGCCAAACTCTTTTGCTCTCATGGACACTGGTTTGTGTGATATATCCTATTCATTTTCCCATTGGGGATAGCAGTGTTGTTGAATTTAGTATTGGAATATCCGTTACTTATTGTCTTGCTATTCTACCTTGTTTTGGAATCTCTTAAAACAGAGTCTGTCTTTCTGCCATTCTGGTGCATTCTGATCACATCACTGCAAATTGGTTTATAACGTGTTATAATTGTATGGAGGTTCCAGATCATTCACTGTTCCACACTGGCTCAAGTTAATTCTTGAAATCAGTAGCACATTTGATGGTCACTCTCTGAATCGATGAAGCCAGCACTTAATGTGATTATTTCTGGTCTTGCAGCCTTTCCCACTTCAAACAAGCTCCCTGTTTGGTGGTTCTGTTCCTTCTTCAACTCCGGCAACATTTGGTACAGTTGGTGTTGGAAATGCCCCTCGGAATGTAAACATCCATATACATGCTGGTAAATCAAATTAGTTGTTTCATTGACTTTAAAAGTGCAACCCTGCATTAACTTCGCATGCTACCAGGAACTTCTCTTTCACCAATTGTTTCGGCAATTGGTTCTAGGCCAAATAATGGGGAAGGGGTATCAAATGAACGTCGGAATGCTCCTGGTTCTGGTGATTTAGGTTCAATGCATGCTTTACCTGTGAGAAATATCATTGCTGCAGCTGTACCTTCATACCCTCCTGGCACTGGGACCAGTAGTGGTATGCAATCCAGTGGTGTTTCTACTTCACAACCGCCTTCTGATTCAGTTGCATTATCATCTGTTATAGCTGAAATCAATTCTCGTGCTAGACACATTTTTGGAAATATGCAAGGAGATAATACAGTTCTGTCAGGTGGCTACCAATTTATTGCTCCTATATAAGCAATCTCAATGGCCATTGATTCTCATAATTGTTTTTGTATCTAAACAGGTCAAGTGGAGTCAACCAACCGGGACTTGCCTGTTGGAAGGGAATCACAACCTGCTACTGGAAATGAACAGCTAGATACCATGGAGGCGAATGCTGTTGAAGCTTCCAGGGTGTCTTCAGTTGCTTGCACATCTGAAAGTGGAGTATGTCAGGTATTAATCCTGGATCCCTTCTATCCCCAGCAATCATTATTTTTAATTGGCAAATATCTAACCATTCAATCACTTCCAGCCCCAGCATGAGGCAGCCCAAACTTGTAAGAATGAGGGGGGAGGTGTTTTGAGCAACACATTTGGCTCTTCCAATCAAGATTCATTAAGTTGGTCAAGAGGAGAAAAAATATCAAAGCCAGAAAATGCACAAGAAAATGCTCCATCTGCTGGTGAAAAACATGCAACTGAAAGCGCCAAAGCTGTTCCCCTTGGACTGGGTGCGAGTGGCTTGGGGCATAAGGTCAGCTTATAGTTTATCTCTTTATGTGTGAGATTTGGATTAACTCAGTAAAAATATTATTTTCACATTCACAAAATGCTTAGGAATATGGTTGCTCCTATGTTATTTTTTTCAAAGACATTTTATCATTGATAACACAGTACTAAAGTAATATAATTAATAACAGTTCCTTTTTTTGCCATCCTGATAGTCTAGATATGCAATTCCATATGATTTTAGTTTTGTAATATATTGTTTTCAATAATTTTGCAAAATATGACAAGAACACGCAAGGATAAAAAATTTTTGTATATAATTATGAGGAACACATAAACGCAAGACAAACATGAAGTAAGGGTGCACATGGCCTGGGTTTTACCCCAACCCAATGTGCATGTTCTTTGGCCCAACCCAAAAATAATTTTAGAAAATATTTTAAAAACATAAAAAGTTTTATTAATCAACAAAAATATAGTTAGAATTATTTAAAATAAATTTCTTATAAAACCAATTGGTAGAATTATTGCCAAGTCCCTTACAATGATTCCAAATACCCAAAAGTCCCATGAAATGTACAAATTACTACCAAGTCCCAATCCTCTTAATTATTAATAAGTTTATTGTGCAATTACAAAAATATCCTTATATTATTTTATTTTTCATAAACCACCCCTTCTCCTTCACCTCTTTCCCTCTAGCACATCACATCTGCACCAACACGGCAACACCAACAAACCCTTCCTATTTCATCTATCTGTCTCTCTCTCCCATCCACCCACAGTGTCCCCTAAGCTATCTCTCTCTCCCCTCCCTGTCTCACCCTCAACATTCTTCTTGTTCTTCATGATTACTCTGCTTCTTCCTAAGACTTCCCTTCTTCTCTACTCACTGTCCTGACCATTGCGCCTCCATTCATTTTCGCCATTCATCTCTTACCCTGTTTTCTTCCTCTACCAGGAGAATTTGCTAGCTGTGAATTGACCCCAACCTTCAACCGCAACTGCCAGAAAGAGAAGGTGATGTGCCAGAAAATCCCACCGATATTGACCTAGAATATCGAGAGTTTGGTCTTTGCATTTTTTGCTTTGTTGTTCAATTTAGCCTTGTTCAATTCTTTGTAGCCACTTTTGTGGGTTTTTTGTTATGTTGGCATCCATCAAGATTTCAGAGTAAGATAGATGAAGGAGGTGGAGTGATTTATTAAAAATAAAATAAAATTTTTATAATTGCATAATAAACTTATTAACAATTAAGGGGCTTGGGATTTGACAGTAATTTGTGCATATCATGGGACTTTAGGGTATTTGGAATCGATTGTGAGGGACTCGGCAGTAATTCTCCCAAACTAATACTAGGATTAAAAGTAATATTTGTTAAATTTCATATGCTTAACAATTATCCATTATTTATATATGATATAAAGTTAAAAAATAAATTTTAAATTTTGAAAAAGATTAGAAAAATTGAAATCACGAGAAATGTCCATGATAATCTTAAAAACAATATAATACATAAAAATACTAACAACAAGAATACTATAAAGTAATTTATTTTAGCCAATTTTTTTTTTTTAAAGATACATGTATGCGTGGGTTGTGTTAGGCCAGGTTTGACCCTAGCCTGGTGTCCAGCCCAACTAGCTAGGCCAAGACCAGGCTTCCTGGCTAATGCACAGCCCTAAGTCATGAAGTATAAAGAGATCTATGATCATGCTCAGACGGGTAGTAAGGTGTGGAATTTAATGGGACGGGAACAGCTAAATTTAGCCTGCAGGCTTTTGAATGTTGGAATGGATTTGGAGAGGTCCTTGGCTTGAATGGTCTTATTAGGTTCTTTGATGTCTCACTACTTCTGAAAGCCCACACAAGCCCCCTATGTCCTGCATAGAAGTTGAGTTTTAACTGTGCCACAGGCTGTTTCATCTCCGAACTCCAAAACAGAATGTCTGAGATTGCTTTTATTAATATATCTAAGATGTAATTATTTTTCTGTGCAGAGAGAAATCTGATGGATTTTTCTTGTGGTAATAAAATGAGATAGAAAAGAGAACAGAATCAGTAGAAGCTAAAGAGACAAATTAAATTTTATCTCAATATGTTTACAAACTCCGTCAAATTTCTGCTTCAACATTTACTGCATTGCATGACTATATTCTGACTCATCTTCACACAATGACACTCATTGTTTTATGTTGTTACACAAATTATTGTTGTTGCTTCTGTTATTAAATAAAATGTATGATCCAAAACAGAGGAGAATGAGACTGCAACATCCTGTAGATAGAGGTGCTGATGATGGATCAGCCAGTTCTTCAGGTAATCAACATCAGCAAGCCAGGACAAGTGGGCATAATATATTGCAAGCTCTTGCAAGTCATGGAACTTCTATGAACCAGAGAAATGCTAATGGTCCATCCCAAGTGCCCCCTTCTCCTGGTAATGGCCAGATTGATGTGGCTGGTGTTATGTCTCAGGTCTTGCATAGCCCTGCTTTGAATGGTTTGTTAGCAGGGGTTTCACAGCAGACTGGAGTCGGCTCACCTGATATCTTGAGGAACATGTTGCAGCAGTTCACACAGAGCCCACAGATGAGGAACACTGTCAATCAAATTGCCCAACAGGTTGGCAGTCAGGATATGGGGAATATGTTTGCTGGAATGGAAAGAGGGCAAGGTAGTGGCATTGACTTTTCAAGGATGCTCCAACAGATGATACCCATTGTATCTCAAGCTCTTGGAGGTGGAACTCCTCAGTCATTCCCTGCTGAAAGGAGGGATCCCCAGGCACTCTATGGTGATGGAACGCATGGCAGAGATGAAAACTTTGATCATCAGAGTTTACAGGTTTGTATATTACCAACAAAAAGGCTTTGGTTGCAGCATTGCACTTCCTAGTTTTTAATTCTCTGATATGAAAAGGAAAATAGGTTTTCTGCAAGTCACGTGTGTGACCTTCAAAGATCTCTGATTCCCACAGGAGAAAATTGTTTAATAACCCCATCTTTTGGCCGTAACTCACTCTTTATTAAAAGCAAGTGAAAAATGGTGCTAACGGATTAAACCGTAGGAAACGGTGATTTTAGGATCTGCACGCTTCTATTTATTTTTCGAGGTTAAGATTTAAAAAAATTGCTTTTTATTCTGATTGTTTCTTAATCTCTTGCATATTCTAGATCAATCTCCAACCAGTGGTAGAGAGGATGGAACACGTTAGTACACGATCAGATGTATTCCGTGCGGTGGTGGAAAATGCTATTCGGCTATCCAGAGGGGGAAGTTCTTATGGTGGTCTTCTGGATGAGTTGTGTAGTGATGAGTATCTTCCCGGTGTAAGTTGCCCTTCATGTCATTTATTCGCTGGAAGCTGCTGCATGCAGTGCCAAATTATTTTCATGCAGACAGCATGATATTTCATTATATTCCTGTTCTTTTGGTTGTGTAGGACTATATGGAGATGTTACGACACGATGTTAGTCGGCGGCTGAATGGGAATTCTGGGCGAGACTAGTTACAATTCCAGCTGGAAGCTTATTTGTTTTCTTGTTTGCTGATACACATTGATTCAACAGCTGTTGGCCGTTCTGAAAGCCCTTGTAAAGAATGAGTTTGGGCGTCCATGGGTGCCCCCGCCCCCCCCCCCCCCCCCACACAAAATTATTTGTTGGTCTCGATCATTTTGATGGACTTCCAGACGGCTTCGTGTGGAAGTTCAAAAGTACACCACCCGACTGACGCTTGTCACACATATATATATATATATATATATATATTATATTGAACATTGGGGATTTGATAGCTTATTTTATTTTATCGACTGTGTGATCTTTTAGGCTCGATGATGGTTGCTTTAATCAAAGTCCTTTTGTACATCCCGGACTTCAGAAAGAAATTGAAAATTCCAGGTTTTCTTTGTGGTTTAATTCGTTTTCTTGATTTCTTACTGTTTCGAGGTTTTATGAATTTACACATGTATGGTCAAAATTTGCACTGTTTTGAGGTTTAGATATTTGGGAGTCATTATTTAAAATGATGGCGAAATTAGTGGAGATATTTCACATAGGATTCAAGCTAGGTGGTTTAATTGGAGAAAAGTTAAAGGAGTTATTTGTGATCGTAAGGTGCCTAATAAATTTAAAGGAAAGTTTTATCGCACTGTTATCAGACCGGTAATGTTATATAATAGTGAATGTTGGGCTCTAACAGGATAGCAAGAGCATAAAGTTGGAGTAGCAGAGATGAGAATGTTATGATAGATGTATGGACATACACATAAAGATAAAATTCGAAATGAGCACATACGCGAAAAAGTGAGGGTAGCATTTATTGAGAAAAAAATGGTAGAAAATTGGTTGAGATAGTTTGGGCATGTATAAAGAAGATCAAGAGAGGCACCAGTGAGAAGAGTGAAACATATAACTTTGAGTCCGATTAAAAAGGGTAGATGAAGGCCTAAAAGAACACTCTTGCAAGTTGTTGAATGCGATTTCTTAATTAATAATATTTTAAAAGCTTGATAAATGATAGAACACAATTGTGTCTTGCAATTCATGTAGTCGACCCCACCTAATGGGATAAAGGTTTGTTGTTGTTTGTTGTGTTGTTGTTGTTGTTATAGTTGGCATGCCATCCTTGAAAATTATTCAATTGGGACATGAAGGCTATAAACTTCGCTTCTCATTAAGAATTGTCTATGCCAGTGTTCCGTTAGAATTGAGGTTCGTTAGGAAGTTTGTGATCATTTTAGTCTTGTTTCCTAGTTAGACCACCTTTTTTCCTCCCCCAACCCCGGTTTTGGGTATTGTCGATGTTTTCGGGTTGAGAGGAGAACCGTTTTGAACTCTTAATTTCTTGTCTCGTGACGCTAAATATGATACTCTATAAAAATCGTGGACTGTCAGCAAACATATTACATGTGTTAAAGTATACTGTATTTTACTATTTCATGAATTAAACGTTGTTTCTTTTGTGGCACCAAATTGGTTGGTAATCTCTAAGATGTCTTCTCTCCATTGTTCCCATAATGAATTAGCTGGTGGCATGATAAATTAGTAACAATGTAATCACATCCAGCCTGCTTCAAGATTGGGAAATCAAGAAACTCTCCGTTCCATCTTTCGCTAAATGTCTATGTTTCATATATAAAGTTTGAACATGATTCATATTATTAGTGACTTAAGAATAATGTAAGCTTTTTATAGATTATATATATCTATTGATATTGATTTGGTTATATAAAATTAAAGACACAAAAATCCTTCATTAACTATTTTTTAATTTTTGATTGAAAAGGTGTATCTCTTAGCTGGGAGAATTGAGATGCGACCTGGTTTTTTATGTTCGTGTGGAAGTGGTTAGAAGTTAGAACTTAGAAGATATAATTCTTTTTAGAGAGTGAGAACTAAGAGGGTTTTGAATTTTGAAGGCTTGCACGGTTTGAGGCCGTGTCATGCCCAATAATTTCTGTAGGGATTAAAATACTACCCCATTCAAGTTCTGTGAGCCAAACTGGATCTGGATGCTCAAATGCTTTTGACCTTTTAGTTCATTTATCAAAAAACAGAACAGAAAAGAAAAGCTTTTTAGTTTCCTTCTAATTCGTGGTGCTCCCGTCACCTGAGATCTGTACACAGTTCCCACGCTTGTTTTACTACTTACAAATTATGAATAATATAATATAATTAGTTTTAAAATTTTGACTTCAGTATACATGTTTTAGTTAGAGTTTATCTAATTTAATCAAAATCATATTTTCATTTTAAATTGAAAGTTATCATATCAATTAGTATAATTATATTTTAAATTCTAACAAGTTATATTATTCTGAAGTGATAACCAGTGCTTCACCAAAAAATTAAAAAAATAGATCAGTGCAGTCAATTTTTTAGATTATATGCAACTCAAGAGGACCCACGCAAATTAATAATAAAAAGTAAAATTATGTGTTTTTTTTACAATTTCAGAGTTGATATTGTCAAGCCACTTTGTAGCTTGTCAGTCAGGCGATTTTAATTTTTAAATTGATGGTCTATCAATTATTTGACGTGTCTTTCAACCGGGCCATGTGCGGATGGGATTGAAGGCACGATATTGTTTTATTCTGTTTAACAAAAGAGTCGTTATATTCATCATGCGTAGACAATGCAAAGCAGCTCTGTACGAATTTATTTTGTGGGAGGGTATGTGTATTTTTAATATATATATATATATAATCCGGAAATGTTATTTTTATTGGATTTATCTAGGGTCTACATGGTCTCTACTCATGTCCGAGAAAAAAAAAAATCATATGAAAAAGAGAGAAACATGTAGGTTGGATATTTACTTCTTCGGGGCTATTTCTTATCCTAACAAATCACGACTCACGAGAAGTAAAGATCTTTTGACTTTTAATTTTTCTTATCTTTGTGCCATCTTATTGACTTATGCAGAAAAATCTGATCGCTCGATTAAAAAGTAAAACGAGAGTCATGGGGAAAAATGAGAAACGAGAAATTTTATTTAGGTTCAGCAACCTCATTGCCTACACAACTAGTTTCTTAGTTATGCTAGAGAGGTTTTGTTTTCCCCACCATGTTAAATCTCAGTTACAGCAGGTGCTGCACATGATGTTTAACTCACCAACAGCTAACTAGATTTCAACTAACCTAAAAGTCCTGCAGAATTTGTGGGGTGTGGTTTCTCCTCAATCCATTGTTTTATTAGATTTGTTTATTAATGTTGTCTATGAACATAATGATGATACATATAAACATAAAAAGTTGAGAAGCAATGGAGAGCGGAGACATCCAACCAAAAATTAAAGGGGAGATACATGATCTTTGACCTATAAGGCTTCCTGTTATTGTTACAGGCAAAAGGTATGGTATGAGCAGATGGAGAGTCCAGAGATAAGGAGACACGAACAAGAGTGGTGGTGGTGAATGGAAAGTGCAGGGGACCATGAAGGGATCTGCAACTGGCATTGGGAGGAGAGGAAGAGAGTAGGAAGACGGCCGAGGAGGGAAGTTTGCTGAAACTGGTCACATGTCACATGTCACATGCGTGCATCAAAACAAAACACCAACATGTGCGATTACGAGTTCAAGTGCCACCGACACTCTATTCTCCCTGCTCCAATTCCTAACTATTTTCGTCCTTTTCGATTTTAGTTTCCCTCTCTTTCTTTTTCTCGGCTATATTCACACACCACACTCCCCTCCTCTCTGCTGTCCCGCACTAATCATTTCTTCTGCGCTGTCCCCTTCGCCTTTAAATTTCTCCCTCACGCTTCTTATATACTGTAACCAACATTACCCAACAGAGAGCCCGCGCCGTCTACTCTCAACTGAGCGGCACCCAAATGCCGCTTCCCTTAGCCTCGCTCTTTTCCTTCACTCTCTCCCTCTTTGCCATTGTTGCCGCCGAAGATCCCTATAGGTTCTTCAACTGGAATGTCACTTACGGAGGACATCTATCCCCTCGGTGTCCGCCAGACGGTATGTCTGAATCTCCCTGTATCCGTCCCGAATTCAGCCCTTTTATCAATCTTGTCAACCAATATGCTTCGTTCCTGCATCTGAATCTGCCTGCTAAAGTGATCTACTTTTTCCTTCCAGGGAATACTTATCAACGGCCAGTTCCCGGGTCCAGATATTCACTCTGTCACCAATGACAATCTCATTATCAATGTCTTCAACAGTTTGGACGACCCCTTTCTTCTCTCCTGGTATTTTTCTCTCTTGCTCTGCACAATAATTCGTGCCATCCTCTGATCTGGGACCGTTTCAATTGTTCGCGGCATTTCGTAAGCTGCAAAGAAGCCTGTGGTGCTGCGGGTAGTAAATTTAACTAGTTACAGACATGGGGTTTTATACTTTTATCACAGAACTTTCCCTTCGGCGTTGAGCGTGTGTGAGGAGAATGTCTGAATGCGTTGAGCGTGTGTGAGGAGAATGTCTGAATGCGTCGGTTGTTACCTTGTTTTTTTGGCCCCTCTAGGAACTTCTTTGGATGTTTGTTGAGTCACGTGACAGCGACGGGAAATTTCTAAAGAAACCGTGTGCGGACATGGATCCAGATCTGGCTTGCTCAGTGCTCCCGTTGATAATAATAATAACACTGATGATACATTTTATAATTTCGACAAATTTTAGGCTTGTGGTGGATGCATTTCTTAGATGTGGAAACTGCATGATATCCAATTAACGAATTAACCGGTAAACTTCAAACCCATACACTGACATGTTCAATGACTCGTTACGATTTCAACTATTAACAGGTTAAATAACCCATCTAGTTTTTTTTTTTTTTAGTATTTTGGAAAACTTACTTTCACAGCCCCGAACGTCACGTCATTATGGTTAAATCGAACAATAATTAACCTGCACATTTAATTGGCTTTGTTGGGAAAAGAGCTTTTGATTTTTCTTATCCAGACTAGGCGGCTGTTTTCAGCATTGTCCCTACATCATGGTTCATCTGCGTGTGGGCTGAGACGGGGGCTCAATGAGGGGAATGGTCTTTGATTTACTGATGTTTGAAGAGTCGAGTGACTATCTTTGCTTCAAGCTCAATATCTGGACATGGCTAAGTTCTGATTTTGTGGTTACGAAAAATAAGCAGGAGCGGGGTCCAACAGAGAAGGAATTCATACGAAGACGGGGTATTGGGAACGACGTGTCCCATACCACCCGGGAAGAACTTCACATATATTCTTCAAGTGAAGGATCAGATTGGGAGCTTTTATTACTTCCCGTCTCTTGCATTCCACAAAGCTGCTGGTGGTTTTGGAGGCCTCAGGAT